ACATCTAAATACAATGTAACTAGTTATTTTCTCTCTCTACTTAGATCACAGACTAAGTGAACTTATAAACTGAGCCTTTATAGAAAGTACAGAAACATCTTTGTGTGAATTTTTTTTTAATACGAAGGAATTTCCATGGAACCCAAAGTCACTAGCCAAGGTGCATCTGGATTTAAATTTAGATGATGTCTCAAGTATTCTTGTAATTTAACCTTCCTTTAATGGAAAACATTAGATAGGAATTATTTTATAAAATGTTAAACTAAGGGGAAAAAGAAAGAGAGAGGCAAACCATAAGAGACTCTTAACTATAGGGAACAAACAGGGTTGCTGGTGGGGAGGTGGGTGGGGGTGGGCTAAATGGGTGATGGGATTAAGGAGGGCACTAGTTGTTATGAACACTGGGTGTTGTATGTAAGTAATGAATCACTAGATTCTACACCTGAAACCAATTTTACCATATTTATTAACCAACTAGAATTTAAATAAAAACTTGAAATAAAAATAAATAAATAAAATGTTAAACTAACATATCTTCAGTGGTTTCATTTTCCTCTGTTTTCTTTAGCAACAATTCAGAAAGTCTTCAGTCATAAATCAGATAGCACAGTTTAAGGCTATTTTAAAGCCTATAAAACTAGTCTTAAAGGAGTCATGAATCCAGATTACAGTCACTTTCAAACTACTGAGTGAATTGATTTATTTTAAAATACCACTTTATTCCACAGATTGCTCAATAACCTTATGACATGAATAACTTCAATAAAAAAAATTGAGAGGAAGTTGAATTGGGTCCTTTTGGGGTGTGTGTGTGTGTGTGTGTGTGCACGCGCGCATGTGTGTGTAGAGTGTGGAAAAGAATGTTTGATATTTATTGTGATCCTGACACTTTCTGCCTTTCTGAAAACAATGAAAGTAATTAAGCTCTTTTAGGCGTTAGAAACATTTTCTCATTTATAAAGCTGCCAATTCTTATTCTTGTGAAGAAATATTTTTAGCCTTTTTAGAAACCATATTAAGTTTGATAAATATTTGGAGAATAACATAACTTTAAAAAATAATAATGCCTTAAATTTATATGAAAATTGTTGATTAGATATATGAATTTTTGATTTCCATATTGAACTGTATAAATACGGTCCCAGAAGCACTTCATATAAAATATGTCTTATTCATATTGCTATAATATAATATGTCCATTCAAGTTGCTATAACAAATTACCATAGGCTGGGTAGCTTATAAACAATAGAAATTGATTTGCTCATAGTTCTGGAGGCTGGAAGTGGGAGGTCGGGGTGGCAACATGGTCATGTGAGGGCCCCCTTCTGATAGCAGATTTCTCATTGAATAATCACAGGGCAGAAGGGGCTGGGGATCTCTCTGGGGTCTTTCTTCTAAGGGCACTAATCCCATTCATGAGGATTCCACACCTATGGCCTAATCGTCTTCTAAAGACCCCACCTACTAATACCATCACCTTTGGGGTTTAAGATTTTAACAAACAAATTTTGAGGGGACATAACATTCAGATCAGACCATAGCAATATGAAAATATCTTTTTTCATTCTCATAAGTTAGTATTAAGTCTTGATTTTTCACAATAATTATATCAGTCTTCTGATAATTAAAGTACAAAACATCAAACCACAGTCCTCTCATCATTCATAGAAATAGTGAAGAATAATTTATAGAGGCAGGGCAGGGCAATAAATCTCTACTTTAACTTAAATATTGTTCTCTTCTTCAAATTCATGAAACTAACCAAGGAATCTTTACCCCCGAGGGTTTGTTTCTAGCACCTTGATTTCTTGTGAAATATGGTCACTGATAGAGAAAACAGCATCACAAATATGAGTCACAACCTGTCTTTTGCATACCCATTTCTCACTTTTATATAATCCCTCATAATTATTTCTTCTTCTCTTACTGTCTTTTCATATCAGATTGTGAGCCATAATATTAACTAATATTTAGTGAGCATTTGCTGAGACAGGCACTATATTATACCCTTTTCAAGTATTATCTCTTAGATTGTCTCAAAAACTCTGTGGGCAAAGTAAAAATATATTACCATTTTTCAGATAGGGAAATGGGAATAATCTTAGGCAGTTTATGTAACCAGGAATACAGAGCTGGTAAGTGGTGAAACATGTATTTAAACCCAGGTCTATCTGATGGCCAGCACATTTGCTTTTAAGCATTCTATCACTCTGACTCTAATTCAGGAAAATGTCCTATGATCAAGGCACTTCTGTCTCCCAGCACACTATGTCCACTAGATCATGGTGTGTCACATTCAAAACACAATAGAGTCAAATCAGATGATGAAATGACAGGAAGAAAGTATATTTATAAATGGACCTTTTTAAAAAACACACAAGCATACACATACATATTCTGTACCCAGGAATAGAATAACTAATGCTTATTTCCACTGAAATTGATATTGTCAATAATCATTTTAACTAAGATATATTAACATTATTATTATATGTGGAAATTTATAGTTGGCACATGTTTTCTTTATACATTAAGGTATTATAGGAATTTCTACAACATTTCTATGAGGTAGAAGATGGGTATTACTATTATTCTCATTTTACATAGTGATTAAGCAGTTTTGTTGTAGGAACAAAGCTAGGAAGTAACCAAAATATCATTCAAATTTGTAATCTTACACATAAAATTTGATGTCCTTTTCATTATGTCACATGGAAGGTTGGGAGAAAGACCTGCAAATTCCAACATAGAGAACAATCTGTGTGTTGTCAGTTTCGATTTCTAACCCTCAAATCCTTCTAATTAGTTTTTTCTGTACTTAAAGTGAAATATACAAAGAAATGATACTTATTTTATTGAATACTTGACAAAAAGACCTCTCGATTCCTATGGATTTTATGTATAAATCATGCTATTCTTTTCTTAGGGAAGTTCACAACAATGATGAATAGGGTATTCAGTAGTGTTTAACTAACACATACGTAGGCTTCGGTTCATGTTCTAGATGTTTACTTGATACAATTCCTTGTATATATAACTAAGAAAAAGCATTCACAAGGACAGATAGTGTTTCATCCTCTACTTGAATTATGGGACTTGCAAGGCTACTATTTCCACGTATTTGTAGGAAATCAAACTATTACTCACTGGGACTTATGACTAGAAAGATCACTTCAAATAAATGTAAGATTGTGATTAACAAAACTCTGCAAGACAAATGTCTAAATATGAATGTTTCCACTTTTGCTACAGAGTACATATAAACTGAAACTACTGAACAAGGATGCTTTACTGATGGTAGATATTACTCCTGGCTTATGTGTTTTACTCCCACAGAAGAGGGTTTTCAGTATATTATCAAGTAGGTGAGACTAGAGGAAGTTAAGACTTATAAAGTTATCCATTATTGCAAAACCATGCAACTGTCTACATTTTAATACTTCTAACTTAAATTCTATATCTCAAATAAGTTTTCTAAAAATATTTTAATAAAATGTTCTCTTATTATGAAGACTTGAAAGTTAAAACAAACTATTTCTAATATCACTGTTTTGAAACAGAAATATGGATGAATATGTACATTTTTCATTGAATTTAAGTGTGAGATAGTTTCATAGCTTGCCACTAGGAATTGTATGCAAGTCATTGACTGAGACTCCATAATTTATTTTCACTTTTAAAGGATTTTATTGGATCTACCTCTTGACCTTACTTAAATTGGTAATTTAAACTCTATTACTTTAAAAGCCAGCAAAACATGCCTGCTAGAGCTGAAGTTCAAACTTCAGTCAATAGAAGGGAAACACAGTTAGCAGATTCATGAATGTTGCTGTTATGCACAGTATAATTCAGGAAACTGTTCATTTGCATTACATGCTTTTAGGAAGTAAAACTTCCTGCTTTGATCTGTGTTGCATTTCATTTAACTTCCTGGTATCAAAAGCAACAGTTTGAAACAGGAAGCTCTTATTTATTAAGAGCCTACAGTCAAAGGAAAGCTTCTTACTTTAAAGTCAGATTTACTAGTAAAAAAGTAAATCAAAATAGACAGAGTTTGTTCATTGTTTTTCCTTCCTCTGGAGAATAGCCTGATTTAAGTTTTATTTGTGATTCTAGAATACATTTGTGAAATATTAATATTTATAACATTTTTCACTTAGAATACTGAGAACAGTTCCTGAAATATGTTTTAATATTTTAATCAAAAAAAGGTTTATGTGGTAAAAAATTAATGTATGAATTAAATAAAAAGTGCTTTTTTTTTAAAGATTTTATTTATTCATTTGAGACACAGAGCTACAGAGAGAGAAAGCATGAGCAGGGAGAGAGGCAGACTTCTTGCTGAGCCAGGAGCCCGATGTGGGGTTCGATCCCATGACCCTGGGATCATGACCTGAGCCGAAGGCAGATGCTTAACCATCTGAGCCACCCAGGAGCCCCTAAAAAGTGCTTTTTGTTTTCTTCTGGGTTAGATGAGTGAATTGAAAAAAAATTCACATTTTACAAAGTTCATTCCAATGCCATCTTTAGAAAGAGCAATAATTTAAAAATCTTTTAAAATATTATTAATTCCAAAAGTAAAACAATTTTCATAACCTTTATTTAAATTTCATATAAAATACCTGTTGTAGATTTAGAAAAGTCCATTATATTGACTTTATTTGCAAATTTATATTATTATTTTTTGTTTGTGTTCTAAACAACTCTATGCGAGCTAGTCATTTGATAACAAATGCATGAAAAATGAAATCCTTTCATAAAAACTTATATTGGAGATGCAAAGCTATTTATTCTGCTTCATATATAAGTTCAAAACAATGTATTTTCAAATAATATTTTCAGTAACAACAAAGTAAATCAATGATTATGATTTGTTCTTTCTGTGAAAAGTCTCATGAGCTATATAATGATACCAAGTTATTAGCAAAAATTATTAGCCTATCTCCAGGTTTCAATAGTTCCTAAAATATCTAATTATCAATATCCATTTCCTTTAAAGTCTCAGATATCCATCAGCGTAGAAGAGTGGGAAGACACCAAAGACTCCAAAGAACAAAGTCATCACCGAAGCAACCACCGCAACTCAACATCCAGTGACCAGTCAGACCATCCCTTACTGCGGAGAAAGAGCATGCAGTGGGCCCGAAGACTGAGCAGAAAAGGTCCAAAACACTCTGGTAAAACAGCTGAGAAAATAACCCAGCAGCGACTGAACCTCTACAGGAGGTCAGAAAGACAAGAGCTTGCTGAACTTGTGAAAAATAGAATGAAACACTTGGGTCTTTCTACAGTGGGATATGGTATGCTCTTTAAAAATATTGTATGCTATGGACTTGTGATTCTTGCCATAGTGTTTGTGTAGTTGGTTCAGATTTAGTAAGTTAAGAATCACATTTTTGTTTCACAGGCCAGTTTGAAGGAACTACTGACACATATATAATTCAGAAAATTATAATGATGACAGTAAAAGTAAATGCTAAAAATATTAAGTATTTGCTAGGTTCTCTAGGCACTCTGCTGAACTTATTATATGGATTACCTTAATTTTAATTTTCTCCAAAACTTTTCCATTTTAGAGATAAAGAAACTTAGTCAATAACTTGCTAATTAGCTTTTTAATAGCATGGCTGAGATTTATATCCTGTTCTGTCATGCTCTTTCTCACACACACACACACACACACACACTCACACTCACACACTCTCACACACACCCAAACCACATCTTATTCTAGGAACTGGGATAATATGAATTTGAGGCATTGGCAAGTAACTAAATGTACCAGCCACAAATGAACCAAATCCATAAAATTTGTTTAGTTTCTTGTGGTCCAGAAATAAAAGTCTACAAAAGCTTTAATTTGAAGCTCAAATAGTACTTGATTTCCTATAGTGTAGATCTGCATCAATAATTTAGTTCCTGTGTTGATCTGTGATTGCCATATAGACCAAAAAGCACAGCTTAAATAAATAATGCAAAGATAATTTTAAAATATATTCTTTACTACTCTATGAATTTTATTTTAAAAAAATTTAGTCAACTTAGAGTAAAGCCAGATGATAAAGTGGTTTTTGTTTTATATATATATAACTTGGGTAAACCAGAAGCTAAGATAATATAAATATCATGCAAGTTAAGGATAAAATGGAATGCATTCTATATTTGTCCCATCTCATTTTTATTATTAAAGTCTCATCTTGAAACAGTATATATATATAGGGAGATATTTTAATTATTGAATTAGGTAGAGTTTAAAAGAAGTTAACCTGCTAGAACTATGCTAGGTGCTTTATGTGTATTTTTTCATTACTCCTCATAACCCTGAGTGGATAGGTGTCCCACTTTACCCTAAGAAATTGAAGCTTAGAGCTTAAAGACCTTGCTCAAGGGCATACAGTTGAAATGTGTTGGAGTCAAGATTCCATATGTAATTGAAATAATTATTTAGTACTTACTTAAACATAGTACAGACTCATCTGTTACCAATAATTTTAATATAATCACACAAGGTCTTACATTAAAGAGTAAATTCAAAGAAAAATTGATCTTCCTTTTAAAAACTATATTAATAGCTCTTTGCTAATTTGATGACAGTATGATTGTATTTCTTATAGAACTATAGTCCTATATTTATGTGTACTTTTGTTAGTTATTATTCAGCTACTTTTTCTTTTTTTGGAAAGTTCTAGTAAATGATTGTTCATCCAAGTTCCAGCTGTGTTTCATGAACATTATAACTAACTCAAGGCTGGCCCTGTAAGCAGTGTGGCAGATAACAGTTTGACTCTAAGAGACACAAAAATGCATGAACTGGCTGCATGGGAGAATCATCAGGGAACATATTATGTTTTTGCTAATGAAACTTCTATCAGGTACCTTGCATTTAGTTATTCTCTGTGGTTTTTTTTTTATAAATCTGTTAATTTAATTCTCACACTAACTCTTACAGAAAAAAAGAATGGATATTGTCCACCTTCTTTTTTTTCTCTCTCTTTTCATCTTTCTTTCTTCCTCCCTCTGTCCCATTCTAATCATCTATTCATCCATAGGTCCATCAGTCCATCCTAAGGCCATGTACTAGCCACCTTTAATAACATAAAGATTATGAAAACAGGACTGGGATTTAACACATCATGAGCTTCTGGACTTCTCCATGTGTTCCTAACTCACAATAATTCATCCATGCAACAGATAATATTGGGCTACCCTGGGAATAGAATAATGACCTATCCACATAGGATCTCTGCGTTTATGGAACTTATATTCTAGTATCAGCCAGTAGGCTCATTGAATTATTTAACCTCTCCAAGCCTCTTTTTATCACTGTGAAATGGAATTAATAATGTCTGTCTTATAAGTTTATTGTGAGGGACAAAGGGGATAATGAATAACAATGTGCTGAGCCCAGAACTGGCATTCAGTTAATATCACAAATCTTCCATTTATCGATTTAAGTACTACTGTATGTACATCTGTGCTTTATACATAAAGGAGTAGATTTTTCTTTGCCCACCTTAACCAAACCAAACAAAACAAAAACAAATTTTGTCCCCTCAGGGACAATATTGCCTCCATTGAGGATGCGTGCCTTAAAACAATTATTTTGCATGTTTGTCTTCCTTCCTTGAGAGAAGGGAAAATCTTACTCATCTTTTCAACTTTGGATCCCCAATATATTACACATTTCCTGACACATAGGAACCCAGTAACTGCACATTGAATGTGTGAACAAATGGAGTGCTTACAGGTGAGAAAACAGGGTCTCAAATATAAATGATTTCCTAGCCTACTAGACACTCAAGTCAGTATTTTAACTGACGACTTTTGACTCTATGTCTCTTTGTGTTTCCACTACACCACATGTTCTTTGTACATATCATCAATATTCTATAGTGATTTATAGTTGAAAAATGTTTTTACATACATTAAAAAAATGCATGATGATTGATTTAATCGTAAGTCATAATCTGCTTTTTTCTGAGTTAGGTCTGGCATGCTCCAAAAGAATTAATAGATTACTTTTGACCTCTTGGATATGAGACATAAAAGGAGAGGGAAAGGGAAGAGTCAAAAGATGACTTTTGAGGGTTTTCGTTTGAACAATTAAGTGTATGGTGGTGACATTCACTGAGCTTAGAGAAAGAAGACAAATATGTTGGGGTAAAGATAATAAATTTAACTCAGTCCTAACTAGGCAATGTTGTAAAAGAAGCTGGATATCTGCTCTCTGGTTCTCAAGAAAAAGAAATGAGATGTTATATAGACTTAAGACTCTAAATGCTGATAGAGCATATGGATTTTAATTAAAATCGTAGGAGTAGATGAAATAACCCCTGGTAAAGGACTATAGGAGAACTTTGGAAAACATTTCAAGAATGTTAAGGGAAGAAGTATTTTTTAAAAACAAGAGACTGAAATGTCTAGAACTGAATTACCCAAAATATGATAGTATGCTATCAATTGGTTACATGTTTTATCATGACATTGATCGTTTATACTTTCAGAAGGCCATGTGGGGCCTGGGGTGGTCAGAGGCACTCCTCAGGCTGGTTACTTCCAGCCATAAGCAGTTTTGTCTGTTACCCCAATGTGAGTACAAATATCATTTCTTATGTGTTCTATGATGTGAAAAAAATGTTGGGAAGTATTGGACTGAGATATAGTGGGCAATGATTAATAATGCCAAAGAGTGTCGTTGAGTGGTAGATCATTGATGGACCTTGGTAAAAGTAGTATTAGTTAATTGTTATGTGTACAAGCCAAATTTGAGTAGCTTGAGGAATGATATGAGGTAAGGATTTGAATACAGTGGATTTAAATATATTAGAAAGCCCAAGGTATTGGAAATTTTATGTTCTATCTCATTGCTCCACCATTTATTGCTTCTATTTCCAAAATCATGTCACCGTACAAGATAGATGTGGGAACTCCAATTATTTTGTCCACATTCCATCAAGCAGGAAGGAGGGAGATTACCAGAGAAGGAAAGGTCTCTTCAATTAAAACATACTATCAAGTAATTGCACTCACCATTTCTGCTATGTCCCATTGGCAAGGAAAATGTCTTATTTTTGGTGGCCCAAATCTAACGTTAAAGAAGACAAGAAGAATGACTCTATTGAGAGACAACTACCTGTCTGCCACAGCAGATATTTTTTAAGAAGTTTCATTGTGAAGGAGAGGTGAGAATATGGAGCTAACTGGATGGGAAAGTGGAAAGGGAAGAGAGACTGTTTGTTTTGAAGAACAGAGAGATACGAGCATGTTTATTAAGATTGAGCCATTAATGAAGAAGTTGAAAATACAGGAAAAAGATCATAGTTGGAACCTTTTGCTTAGATAATTGGAAATGAGGAAAAATACATGTTTTAAATGCAGTAAACTTGTAGGTATTTTGACAGGAAGGTAAGTAATATTTCATGTGATATTACATAACATATGTGATATGGCCAATATTATTTTCTAAATCTAAAAATTCAGTTCTGGAACATATCTGGCCCCAAGGATTTGAGAGATGGAATTTGAGGACCTCTATATTTTGGTAAAATAGCTAAAGTGAAATCTACAAATTCTGCTTGTTTTCCATTGAATTTTTTGGGGAAATTTCTTCACTATAATTTTTTAAAACTTCCCCTCAAAGTTCATGGCATTGTATACAAACTGGCCATGTGTTTTTGAGGCATGTCACTATCGCCCTGAAATTCATGTTCTTTAACCATCAAATGAGGATAATAAAGCCTTCCTAAAGGGGTATGGTGTAAAATAAAATGTATGTGAAAAAATGATTTTTAATCTGTAAGCTATACTGCAAATATGAATAATTATACTTTATGTTCGTAACTGGCATTATTCTTCAACAATCTATTTAGAATAGCTCTCACATTCACAAAACAAAATTATTCTAACTATTGACAGATTCTTAATGATTAGCTCACAGAATGGTGCACACTAGTAAGTATAAATTGGCAAGTAAGTCTTCCTAGTGTGACTGCTCCTACAGGTGTTAGCTAATTTTGACATGGATTGTTGTAAGTTTCATACTGTTGCTAAAAGATGAAATGCCAAGGTAGAAAAAAAAACAAATCCTTTTAAGTGACAAAGAGATAACTACTAGTTATCCACTGGCTTTCATTACATCTATCAGAAGGTCTTAGTTTCTTTCTAAAGTAACTTTATAATTGCCTGAAATAATGGACAAATTAAACAAGTACTTTTTTTTTTAAGGCAATAAGGGGACTTAATTCTTCCATTCTCTTTCTTATGGGAAAGAAATAAGCAAAATTAACAAAAAGGACTGTTA